ACCCAAAAAGCTTCCTCTGAAATTTTCTCGGCAGTTTCTCACCATTTTCCCGGTAGTTTCTCTCTACTCCAGGTACAATTTCTACTCGATTTTGTCTCCAATTTCGCTTTGATTTCTTGATTCTTCCTTATGAATTTGGTGCTTATCCCTCTCGAATTCTAGATCTGAAATTCCTTCGGTTATTTTTCCGTGATTTGTGTGCGGTTTCGAATTTCCGATTATCGATATGCTCGAGGCAATCTTATTCCTTTAGAGATGCGTTGATTTGGATCGATCTCTCGTTGCTTCGTTTTCGATTGATTACTGAAATCTTTTTTTTTTCCTGGCGATTGTGAAACAGAAACTTCACCGGAAAAAAATGGAAAACAAAATTGCGCCGTATACATACAGCGGAAGCTCCGCCGGAATCTACAATTCCAGTCGCAACGTTATGCAGCAGCGTCAAGATATGGTGAATCGAGAAGCGTTGTGTTACACGCGCCTCCATGAAGCTTCGCTGGAAGCAGAAGTACTCCGTTTAGAGAACACTGAGCTCCGATCCATGAATCGTCACTTGAAGACTGAGCTTAATCAGTTAATCCGATCCTCGATCCAGAACCGATTCGATTACGACAGGATTCCGCTTCGGATGCTTAGCAATCTCTCGATCGGAGGGAATCATGACGCTGACGAAGTGGAGAATCAGAACCCTAAGGCTAATCGGGATGACGTCAGCGATGAGAGTCCGACGAGTGTTATGGGGAATGATGAGGATCAGAATCGCTCTTCGCTGCCAAAGAGCATCTCCGTGAGATCTAGCGGTTACTCGAAGACGAGCCAGGGAGGTGGTGGTGTCGCTCAATGTGGAAAATCTCGAGGAGCCATGGCTAAACCAAAGACTTGTGGACCTGGTCAACTCAGTACCAAGGTAAAACTGACTAATTCTTTCTTTGTTTTCTTGATTACTGTGAAATTTTTTTCTGGAGATTTTGGTTTTGGTAGAATCGATTATAGGGATAATTTGGTTTATTGTGTTGGGAATTCGGTAATCATTGAGATTAGTTAACTGTTGAATCTGACCTGCGTATGTGATTAGAATCCTCTATGATGCAGAAAATCAGTGTTGGTAACTGTTGACTGTTCTGAGTTTATGGTTGCTTGTTATGTATATGCATTTGTTGGTGTTGAGAAACATTCATCGAAGTTAAGTTTAGATTTAGATTCTTGAGTATCATGGTGCTGTTTGGTTTCTGTGAAACCTGAAGTATAGATGTAAAGAGTGAAGGGCCATGAATGAATGAAATGCAGGAAAATATATAATCTGAAAGAAGGCTCTAGTTCGAGTCGATATTGATGTAGTGTTTTTGGGAAATATGTCAGCATTGAGACAGTATATGGACTTGTTTAGCTGTTGCGTCTGAGCTGCATATATGATTCTTTTAGGATACCAGAATGCTCTAACTCCTCTGCTTTCTTTCAACTATAGATGTAAAGAATATTGGTTATAAATAAAGGACCATGAATGAATGAAAATACAGGAAATTGATATATCTGAGAAGAGTCTATAACTAGAGTTCATATAGGAACGAGTTTTGGTTTTAGGTAATCATTGAGACACTATAGACTTCTGAATCTGAGCTGCATATATGATTAATTTTAAGATACCACAATCCTCTGCTTTGTTTGAACTGAAGATGTGATGAATGGTGATGAATGAAATGCAGCAGAAGGTGTATGTTCGAGGCGGAGGGAAGAAAGAAGAAGAGGAGGAAATAGAGGTGGAGGTGTACAATCAAGGGATGACAAAGACAGAGCTTTGCAACAAGTGGCAAGAGACAGGGACATGCCCATATGGTGACCATTGCCAATTCGCTCACGGCATTAAAGAACTCCGCCCAGTGATCCGCCATCCTCGTTACAAGACTGAGGTTTGCAGAATGGTTCTTGCTGGTGATATCTGTCCTTATGGCCACCGTTGTCACTTCCGCCACTCGCTTTCTGAGCAAGAGAAGCTCATGGCTGCTGGTTTCAAGCCCAAGTCGTCCTTCACGCTGCTTAAATGACAAAAAGGTAAAGAAAATGAAAAGGTTTGAAATCACACCATACCTGTAATTGAACAGTACTATATACCTATATGAATATACTGATATAGCTATTCAAAGGATTTGGCAAATAGCATTTGGTAAAAAGTGAATAATGTGCATTCGTAAGAGAATGTGTTAGAAACTCTTTGAGACAAGTGGTTTGTTTGACATTTTTTCCTCATGATTTTTCTGAGACATTATAAATTGAGGAAATTTCATCGGTTATCCAGATGAGTGTTTTGTTAATACTTGTGGCCATGTGTATGTAATATTGAAAATTGCTTCACCAATTTGTGCGAAACAGAGGAAGGTAAACAGTCATTTGAACGAGGGCTTAAATAGAAGTCAAATTCACAAAGAAATTATATATGTCTCACACCAGTGCATGTTCTTTAGAGTTTTTTTGTAACTTTCTTTAATGAGAGGTTTTGGATAATGAATGCACGTATCTGGATTCTTTTATATTTTCGCATGAAGCACAATTGATAATATGTTCTCCGATTACAAATTTTAAGTCAAAATGATAGGAACTTTCGATCATTTAACATCTACCACATATAATCAAATGAATGGTTTTTTTTTTCTCATCACTTTAGATGTGAATTTTTTTTGTTATACGAGATAGTTTTCAAATCTAATATAACTATATATGATTCCTTGCAATTTTGCGATAGCTTAGATAGAGATTTTTTTTTTTTTAGATAGAGATTTTTCATGTCAATAACAATGTATTGCGATGAGAACGGTGTCCCGTGTGGGGGATGGATTGATAGCTGACGGTGGTGGTGGCTAGTAGTGGTCAGTAGATTATGGTGTCGAAAATAGTAACCAAACGTTGGTAATTGGGTAGATATATTGACTAATATACACAAACACGATTATTTGATCAATTATGCACATATATACACACTTGACTTTTTTTTTTTTTGAAAACAATATATACACACTTGACTTGATTGACTAGGTTTTCAATGTGGTACAACTAAAATTTTATTTATGATAACACAACTTTATAGCTAAATTTTAAGGTGCGAAATATTTGTTGCTTCTATATA